GCCACTGTGAGGTGGAGGAGCAGCTGGGCGGGCCTGACCTAGTCGCGTGAGCTATTTAAAAACTAAGTTTCCTTCCAACTAGTCACAGAACAGCACTGCTCTGTGAGAAAGCTCTCCATGGCTGAGACTCTGAAAGCAGGTTGTAAAGCTTACGGGAAGCCCGTGGGTGACGGCCATCAAGGGCCAGGAAAGTCAGTCTCACAACACAAAGCAGCTGACTTCTGTCAAAGGCAGGGAGAAGCAGACTCCTCCCCAGAGCCCAGAGGAGCGCTTGGCTCCCCAGCGCCCAGGTTTCAGCCTACGGTATAAACACCAGCGGCACAGCCCCTATAGACAGAAAGAATGGAGAGATGTGCTGATGTGCATTCACTCACCTGAGTTTATTCTAGAAACCGTTACGTGTGCAGTGTATAATAAACAAATAAGTAACTTTGTCTACATCATGACAAGCCCAGGAACCAAGCTTGTTAAGAGAAATGAAGTATACATAGGCAAGCAAACTGTCTTAGTTTCTTTTCTCATTGCTGAGACAAAATACCCAACACCTAAAATTAAAAGGAGGAAAGGTTTACAGAGGTTTCAGTCCATGATGGGCTGGCTCCAAGGCAGGGCGATATGCCAGAGCGGCATAGCAGAGGAGAAACAGTTCACGGTGGGCAGACGGCAGAAAAAGCCGGTGCCAAGCCACTCACCTCTTTCTATCCCTTATATCTCATCTAGGCCACCTGCCCTTAATCCTAGCACTGCACCATGAATCAATCCCAGCGTCACACACTCTAGATCCAGACACCTGCGACCCCATGAGACTTTGGGGGACATCTAGACACAGCTATAACACACAGAAATCTCAGTACTAATCCCTGATGAATTTCTCTCTTAAGGTTTTAAACAAAACGAAGTTACTTTCCTCGGCTATCCACTGAAAAACCCAGACACAAGGTCAACGTTTAACAGAAAAAATTTCTAACGCCTAGACTGCAATTTTTAAATAAGACTTTTTATTAAAAGGAACAGTCTTTGATGGTGGCTGATTCTATGCCTGAGCCACAAAATGTACACAATGAGCCAGAAACATCTTATGTGAGAAGAAAAAGGAAATAAAACATCAAACACTAATGTGTATACATCGAAAAAGCTCACTAGCCAAGGAAGCAATGTTCTGATCAAAAGAGAATGTCTTGACAGTGACTGCATTGGATTGGATTAAACGTATACATACAAAAAGCAGATTCAATTACTCAG